ACATACAGCGGTTAAGTACTCAATAACCCACTAACAGCTCTTCAACCACACATGTAGGACATGAGACATTGCATTTGTGCCAGTTAGCATTGTATGGCCACCTGTATGGTGAGAAAACTTAAAAAATCCTGCCAATAGGTTTCTGTACGCTGCACCAGATGGGTAGTTGTGATGTATTAGTGAGAGCTGTGTGTGTGTGTGTGTGTGTGTGTGTGTGTGTGTGTGTGTGTGTGTGTGTGTGTGTGTGTGTGTGTGTGTGTGTGTGTGTGTGTGTGTGTGTGTGTGTGTGTGTGTGTGTGTGTGTGTGTGTGTGTGTGTGTGTGTGTGTGTGTGTGTGTGTGTGTGTGTACTCACCTAGTTGTACTCACCTAGTTGTGTTTGCGGGGGTTGAGCTCTGGCTCTTTGGTCCCGCCTCTCAACCGTCAATCAACAGGTGTACAGATTCCTGAGCCTATCGGGCTCTATCATATCTACACTTGAAACTGTGTATGGAGTCAGCCTCCACCACATCACCCCCTAATGCATTCCATTTGTCAACCACTCTGACACTAAAAAAGTTCTTTCTAATATCTCTGTGGCTCATTTGGGCACTCAGTTTCCACCTGTGTCCCCTTGTGCGTGTTCCCCTTGTGTTAAATAGACTGTCTTTATCTACCCTATCAATCCCCTTCAGAATCTTGAATGTGGTGATCATGTCCCCCCTAACTCTTCTGTCTTCCAGCGAAGTGAGGTTTAATTCCCGTAGTCTCTCCATGTGTGTGTGTGTGTGTGTGTGTGTGTGTGTGTGTGTGTGTGTGTGTGTGTGTGTGTGTGTGTGTGTGTGTGTGTGTGTGTGTGTGTGTGTGCTCGCTACAGACTGCTGGTCGGGATGCTGGGGCCAGATTCACGAAGCAGTTACGCAAGTACTTACGAACGTGTACATCTTTCCTCGATCTTTGACGGCTTTGGTTACATTTATTAAACAGATTACAAGCTTGAAAACTTCCCAGTTAACTGTTGTTATTGTTATAAACAGCCTCCTGGTGCTTCGGAGCTCATTAACTGTTTAATAATTGTAAACAAAGCCGCCAAAGATTGAGAAAAGATGCAAAGGTTCGTAAGTGCTTGCGTAACTGCTTCGTGGATCTGCCCTCTGACCGCCACTGTCTTTAGTACGCCTTCCCTCCCTCTCATTAAGGTAAGGCAAATATCAGGAGCAACATAGTACTTGCAAGGAAAATGAAGTCGGATAAGAGCTGGGATACGAGACTAGGATTAGAGATGGTATTTGAGACCAGGATAAGAGCTGGGACACGAGACTAGGATTAGAGATGGTATTTGAGACCAGGATAAGAGCTGGGATATGATGGAGGGACACAGGTGAGAGTAACATAAAAAACAGAATGCACAATTAAGCATGGGAACTCGAAAGCGTAAAAAGTACAGAACGGAGAGAAGAGAGATGGGAAGAAAAGAAGGGTAGAAGAGGGCACGGGATAGAGAGGAGACAGGATAGAGAAATGGGATAGAGAGGAGACAGGATAGAGAAATGGGATAGAGAGGAGACAGGATAGAGAAATGGGATAGAGAGGAGACAGGATAGAGAAATGGGATAGAGAGGAGACAGGATAGAGAAATGGGATAGAGAGGAGACAGGATAGAGAAATGGGATAGAGAGGAGACAGGATAGAGAAATGGGATAGAGAGGAGACAGGATAGAGAAATGGGATAGAGAGGAGACAGGATAGAGAAATGGGATAGAGAGGAGACAGGATAGAGAAATGGGATAGAGAGGAGACAGGATAGAGAAATGGGATAGAGAGGAGACAGGACAGAAAAATGGGATAGAGCGGAGACGGGATGGATAGGGGAAGGGATGGAGAGGGGGTGGGGAGGAGGGAAGGAGACGTGACTCCCCCAGCAGTGAAGGAACATAAGGTCCCACACATTACACACACAGTATCGCGCTAGTCCCTTACCTCATTTACATAACAAAAGCGGAATGCTTTTTAGCCATTAATTTGAGCTTAATTATGTTCTTCACCTCACTTTCTACTATGCAAATATGCTAACATTTCCCACTCATTCCAAATTAATTTTTTTTGTTTCGCAATATCAATTAAAAAAAAGAAATATTAACTGTAAGAGAATGTGTATTGTGAGGTTATTTGTTGATAGTGACTGGTGCTTCCTTCTCCAGCCCCTGTACCTCTGTACCTCCAGCCCCTGTACCTCTGTACCTCCAGCCCCTGTACCTCTGTACCTCCAGCCCCTGTACCTCTGTACCTCCAGCCCCTGTACCTCTGTACCTCCAGCCCCTGTACCTCTGTACCTCCAGCCCCTGTACCTCTGTACCTCCAGCCCCTGTACCTCTGTACCTCCAGCCCCTGTACCTCTGTACCTCCAGCCCCTGTACCTCTGTACCTCCAGCCCCTGTACCTCTGTACCTCCAGCCCCTGTACCTCTGTACCTCCAGCCCCTGTACCTCTGTACCTCCAGCCCCTGTACCTCTGTACCTCCAGCCCCTGTACCTCTGTACCTCCAGCCCCTGTACCTCTGTACCTCCAGCCCCTGTACCTCTGTACCTCCAGCCCCTGTACCTCTCCAACCCGTTCTCGCACTTTCGTACAGTCAATATTGACTTATTAAATACGTGCATATGTGACATACTTAACATACTAGTTTACCTTGAAAAGCTTCATAGAAAACACCGACCTTACCTAACCTTCTTAGTATGTTAAGATAAGCATCTTATTGCTTCGTAATTACAATTATTACTTAACCTATTATAGGTATAGGTTAAGTAATAATTGTAATTATTACTTAACCTGGGCTCAGGAATAATCAGACCAGGTGATTTAGAACCTGCTGCTGCTCCTTCAGCAGGTTCTAAATTTGTTCTAAATAAGTTCTAAATAAATAATCAGACCAGGTTCTAAATCACCTGGTCTGATTATTCCTGAGCCCATCCTTATGTAGTAGTTAACAGCATAGCTGGAGTCTGTTCTGGTGATCTGTATACTCTCAGAGCCCGGCTTGGCTTGTAATAACTTGCTCCATCAGACTGTTGATTGGAGCGGCCCGCACGCCCACATATCACTATAACCAGATTGAACCGACACTTCCTGTCTTCAATCGCTTTGCTAACTTTATCATGAACAATATGGATCTTAGGATAGGCCTTATCCTGTATATATTGTGAATGAAATATGGCTATCTTGAGGTTATCTTGAGATGATTTCGGGGCTTTAGAGTCCCCGCGGCCCGGTCCTCGACCAGGCCTCCACCCCCAGGAAGCAGCCCGTGACAGCTGACTAACACCCAGGTACCTATTTTACTGCTAGGTAACAGGGGCATAGGGTGAAAGAAACTCTGCCCATTGTTTCTCGCCGGCGCCTGGGATCGAACCCAGGACCACAGGATCACAAGTCCAGCGTGCTGTCCGCTCGGCTCCCCCATTGTCGGAGAAAGTAAGCCTGTTAGGCCTATCGAGGTATCCCTAGGCCAACTACTGACCATCCCCGAGGATGCAACCCACAACAGCTGCCTGAACCCCAGCTTTAGCGAAGACTAAGCTGGGTGAACGGAGACAACAGGAGTAAGAAACGTGTCCAAACGTCTGGTATCGAATCCACAATCTTTCACATTACGAAAGTTTTCGTCAAAAGAGAATCATAAATTTCGTTAAGGTTCTTATATTATTCTGGCGGTCAGGATTTTCGGGGGAACACAATAAAGTTTTGAGTGTGGAAACATGTTAGTCCAGGTTAGGCAAGTTAGTCCTTTCAGTGAAAGCTGTCGTTTTCTTCGCTATACCTTGGAAACTTTTCTACAAAGATGCTAAGTGTTATTGGTGTACGGGTTGCTAGGATTGGTGAGGATGGCTGGGATTGGTGTGCGGGTTGCTAGGATTGATGAGAATGGCTGGGATTGGTGTGCGGGTTGCTGGGATTGATGTGCGGGTTGCTAGGATTGGTGAGGATGGCTGGGATTGGTGTGCGGGTTGCTGGGATTGGTGAGGAATGCTGGGATTGGTATGCGGGTTGCTAGGATTGGTGAGGATGGCTGGGATTGGTGTGCCGGTTGCTAGGATTGGTGAGGATTGCTGGGATTGGTGTGCGGGTTGATGGGATTGGTGAGGATGGCTGGGATTGGTGTACGTGTTGCTAGGATTGGTGAGGATGGCTGGGATTGGTGTACGTGTTGCTAGGATTGGTGAGGATGGCTGGGATTGGTGTACGTGTTGCTAGGATTGGTGAGGATGGCTGGGATTGATGTGCGGCTTGCTGGGATTGTCAATCAATCAATCAGTCGCTCTCCCTCTCTCCTGAATATATTTACTCTATATGAACACGTGTTCCCCCCCCCCCCCGTTAACCGTTCAGACAACAGACAACAGACTCTAGATAAGAACGAACAGAAGCGAGGTTACAAAACCTGTCCCAATAAACAGACTCCCAATATATGCACTCCCCCCTCCCCCCCCCCCACGTCTTCATATCCCTTCCAAACTTCCCTCTCTCCAAAACTTCAAGAACGGCTCAAGTTGCAACAAATGCCTCAGAGCTGCAATGCTATCTGCTTACACGCAAGAACGATGGGTCATAATCTGCTGCAATTCTGCAAGAACACGATCAGTTGCGTTGGGTTATGCGGGTCAGGCATAAGCAACAAGGACGGGGGGGAGGGGAGGGGGGCGGCGCCCCTTCCTAGTGAATTGCAAGTTGTATCCACCTGAAGCCTGTGTTTATCTGTAGGTATATGTGCTGTGGAGCAGGGGGGCGGGAGGGGGATAGAACAATACACACATGGCAACACAACAGGTAACACCACCACACACATGGTAACACACACATGGTAACACACACATGGTAACACACACATGGCAACACACACCTGGCAACAACACCACACGCGGCATCATGCACCAATTTATACGGTCATGCGAGGCGAGAATAATTAATACAAACGTCGTGAGGGTGTCAAAGGGCGTGGCTGCCTCCCTGGGGTGTCCCCCCTAGCCCCTGGCCCCCAGCAGCAGCGTCACCCACCTGGCCCCCAGCAGCAGCGTCATCCACCTGGCCCCCAGCAGCAGCGTCACCCACCTGGCCCCCAGCAGCAGCGTCACCCACCTGGCCCCCAGCAGCAGCGTCACCCACCTGGCCCCCAGCAGCAGCGTCACCCACCTGGCCCCCAGCAGCAGCGTCACCCACCTGGCCCCCAGCAGCGTGTCCCACCTGGCCCCCAGCAGCAGCGTCACCCACCTGGCCCCCAGCAGCAGCGTCACCCACCTGGCCCCCAGCAGCGTGTCCCACCTGGCCCCCAACAACGTCTCCCACCAATAGGTTACAAATAAGTGTCAACGTCCTCTCATAAATACCAGATGTACCGGCACCGGTGATGATGGTGGTGAGGTGGTTGTGGTGGTAGTGGTGGTGGTAGTGGTGGTAGTGAGGTGGTGGTGGTGATTATAATGAGGTGGGTGTGGTGACGGTACTCACCTAATTGTGCATGCGGGGGTTGAGCTCTGGCTCTTTGGTCCAGCCTCTCAACCGTCAATCAACAGGTGCACAGGTTCCTGAGCCTATTGGGCTCTATCATATCTACACTTGAAATTGTGTATGGAGTCAGCCTCCACCACATCACTGCCTAATGCATTCCATTTGTCAACCACTCTGACACTAAAAAAGTTCTTACTAATATCTCTGTTTACAGTGAGCAGGTGGTTGAGGAAACACCAATTTGGTCATTAACAATATTATCACGAAACCCGTCACCTGTATTAGGGTTGCTCTACCCTCAAGATAGGTCACATGGGGTCAAGGTACGACTGATTAATTACCTCAGCTTACCTATCTTGCGCTGTTAACGCGTGAGGTAACGAGCTCCACATTAGGTTCTATTGATAATGATACAACTCTTCCCAGATTCTATTGTCTATTAACTTTGAAATAACTTACCCAGTTTTGAGGGGGTTCTGAATCTTCTCTTGGGATGTAGAGATGAACCTCCAAGCGGGATGGAGATGCATATAGAGATATAGATATATTTTGTGGTATGATATCATGATATGGTATTATGGTATACGATATGGTATACGATACTCTTTCAGATTAATGTCTGTATACACACAAGTCTAACAAGATCCAGCCGTCGGCCGTCCGGAGCCGCCGAACATATCAAAAGGCCGTTGCAGAGAATAATAATCCGATGCTTTAATGTGTACTAATATCTCGCATTTCTAACCGATTGGTCAATTTCGTAAAAAAAGAGGACGGGTTGATCTCGCTTAATACGTCGCTTTATGGTTGGATTTACCGTATGTCCTCTCTCTCTACAGGTGGACCAATGTACGTAACCCCGAGGTCACTGAATGCTGTCCCGCTCTCTCCATACTGGTACAGAACATGTAACATCAGCAGTAAATTATTCTACTGGCTTCATCCCAATCACAATTTTCCCCAAATATTGTTCATTAAAAATGAATCAAAGTAAAATTACTTCACAAAATTCTATTTCATTTATTTTGCAACTACAGTATTTAGGATATTGAAACTTGTTCAATTTCGAGTCATTAACTTGCCTTAGATATGAATAATGTATTCGTTTTGGGTGCAGTGGTAACACACGCGTCCCGCGAGTGATTTGGTCTGGGTTCGAGTCCTGGCCAGGGAGGATTGACTGGGCGCCAGTCCATAAGTGTTCGTCCCTGTTCATCCAGCAGTAATTGCGTTCCTGGTTGTTAACCGATTGTCGGGTAGTGTTCCATGGAAAGCTGGCGGGTAAGGCTTACCATGAACAATGGGAAGGGAAGCTCTCAGCTTGCTAGCAGGAGCCACACCTCGACTGGTCCTGTACCCACCTGTGTGAGGGAGTTATCAGGGGAAAGCGTCAAGCCATTACGACTGTATAGCACTGGGAAGGGGTCAGGATAAGGATTTGGGATGGGACGGAGGAGGGGGGGCAAGTAATGTTGTCCAACCACTTGGACGGTCGGGTATTGAACGCCGACCTGCAGGAAGCTAGACCGTCGCTCTACCGCCCAGCCCAAGTGGTCAGGTAAAACACTGCAGATAATACTGAACTTAGCAAACCATTTTGAATAATGAATATTATATATTAAAAAAATGATGAATGTACACTACTACATCATTTTACTGAAAACGAAATTTGATACAGTTTAAAACATATCAACATGGCAATGAAGCTATTGTGTTTCATATCAGTAAAGACTGTTGAAAGCACTAAACAATTGAATACATTTGTTATTGAAAAATACACTTTGGTTTATATCGAAGATTTTAATATAAAGTATAACAAAATAATTGATAACGACACTTCTGCGTATATTTCCAAAGAGCAAAATGTTGCTAATTCTCAACGCCCCTCTACTGTGCGTAGGGGGGAGGGGGTGATGGGGGGTGAGGAGGGTGCTCTGTGGGCTGCACCCCTTTACCGAGTGGGGGGTCCAGGGCCCAAAATGTCCGGGTCCCCCAGGACAATCAGGGCGCAAGGTAAGAAGGGCCCAAGGTAAGAAGGGCGCAAGATAATCAGGGCGCAAGGTAAGAAGGGCCCAAGGTAAGAAGGGCGCAAGATAATCAGGGCCCAAGGTAAGAAGGGCGCAAGATAATCAGGGCGCAAGGTAAGAAGGGCCCAAGGTAAGAAGGGCCCAAGGTAAGAAGGGCCCAAGGTAAGAAGGGCGCAAGATAATCAGGGCCCAAGGTAAGAAGGGCGCAAGATAATCAGGGCCCAAGGTAAGAAGGGCCCAAGATAATCAGGGCGCAAGGTAAGAAGGGCCCAAGATAATCAGGGCGCAAGGTAAGAAGGGCCCAAGATAATCAGGGCGCAAGGTAAGAAGGGCCCAAGATAATCAGGGCGCAAGGTAAGAAGGGCCCAAGATAATCAGGGCGCAAGGTAAGAAGGGCCCAAGATAATCAGGGCCCAAGGTAAGAAGGGCCCAAGATAATCAGGGCCCAAGGTAAGAAGGGCCCAAGATAATCAGGGCGCAAGGTAAGAAGGGCCCAAGATAATCAGGGCGCAAGGTAAGAAGGGCCCAAGATAATCAGGGCGCAAGGTAAGAAGGGCCCAAGATAATCAGGGCGCAAGGTAAGAAGGGCCCAAGATAATCAGGGCCCAAGGTAAGAAGGGCCCAAAATAATTAGGGCCCAAGATAATTAGGGCCCAAGATAATTAGGGCCCAAGATAACAGTGGCCCAAGATATCCGAGGGTCCTAGACCCACCAAACCTCGATAGTAAGGAACAAGCACACTATCAAAGAAGCGTACGAGCCCTACTCACCTAGTTGTGTTTGCGGGGGTTGAGCTCTGGCTCTTTGGTCCCGCCTCTCAACTGTCACAGTTGGAGCCCTGCCGCAAGCTTGGTGTAGACCGCCCGACTGGTTTCAGGAGTCCAGGTGTTCGGTGTTCCCGCCCCAACAACAGCGGGTCACACGTGAATACCTAAAACCTTCAACTCTGCCGCCATTTACTTCTCTCACAAATCCTGGTAAAATTCGGACGAATACTCTGCTTATTTTCCTTGTTACTCTTCATTGGCAGGTCCCATCCACTTGGAATGGTTGGTACAGCGAAGGCCTCGTTTATTGCTGGTCGGTGTTCGATCCCCGATGGTCCAAGTGGTTGGTTGTTGTTCTCCGTCCGTCCGTCCACGTGGGACATAGTCACTAGACAATTATCTTAATTCTTCATTGGCGGGGCGGTATTGTGGAGCTCATACACCCAGGACCAGGATTCATCAAGGATTTACGCATCCACTTACGGAACCTGTACATCTTTCTGTAATCATGGTCGCTTTGTTTACACTTAATATACAGTTTACGAGCTTGCAAACTTAATACCCAAGTTTATTATTGTAGTCGCTTCGGAGCTGATAAACTGTTTAATAAATGTATACAAAGTCGCAATGTTTGAGGAAAGATGCACAGGTTTCGAAAATGGTTATGTAAATGCTTGATGAGTCCCGTTTCACACTTAAAAATTGATGTGAAGGCATGTTTTGTGATTGGGCGGCCGCTTCCTCCTGGATTGGGAGACCTGGCGGCTGAAATATTCCGCCAATTAAAAAATAAGCCAAAATGCAGCATAAGGCTGAGGAACTGAGGAAGGCCAGGCCGCCCTGAGGAAGACCAGGCCGTCCTGAGGAAGGCCAGGCCGCCCTGAGGAAGGCCAGGCCGCCCTAAGGAAGGCCAGGCCGCCCTGAGGAAGGCCAGGCCGCCCTGAGGAAGGCCAGGCCGCCCTGAGGAAGGCCAGGCCGCCCTGAGGAAGGCCAGGCCGCCCTGAGGAAGGCTAGGCCGCCCTGAGGAAGGCCAGGCCGCCACCGCCACCCACTCCGACTGCCCTCCATACCAGCGAAAAAACTTTCTCAATATTACACGCATACCTCAAGTACTTTTCTTTTATATGGACAAAGTTTAATTACAGCCCCTCACACCCATGTTAGATACACGCGCCTGTAGAGACCCTCATCCACCACACAACTGGGGGCCCTCATCCACCACACAACTGGAGGCCCTCATCCACCACACAACTGGAGGCCCTCATCCACCAGACAACTGGAGGCCTTCATCCACCAGACAACTGGAGGCCCTCATCCGCCAGACAACTGGAGGCCCTCATCCGCCAGACAACTGGAGGCCCTCATCCACCAGACAACTGGAGGCCTTCATCCACCAGACAGATGTAGGCCGTCATCCACCAGACAGATGTAGGCCGTCATCCACCAGACAACTGGAGGCCCTCATCCACCAGACAACTGGAGGCCCTCATCCACCAAACAACTGAAGACCCTCATCCACCAAACAACTGTAGACCCTCATCCACCAAACAACTGAAGACCCTCATCCACCAGACAACTGAAGACCCTCATCCACCAGACAACTGAAGACCCTCATCCACCAGACAACTGAAGACCCTCATCCACCAGACAACTGAAGACCCTCATCCACCAGACAACTGAAGACCCTCATCCACCAAACAACTGAAGACCCTCATCCACCAGACAACTAGAGGCCCTTATCCACCAGACAACTGGAGGCCCTCATCCACCAAACAACTGAAGACCCTCATCCACCAAACAACTGTAGACCCTCATCCACCAAACAACTGAAGACCCTCATCCACCAGACAACTGAAGACCCTCATCCACCAGACAACTGAAGACCCTCATCCACCAGACAACTGAAGACCCTCACCCACCAAACAACTGAAGACCCTCATCCACCAGACAACTAGAGGCCCTCATCCACCAGACAACTGGAGGCCCTCATCCACCAAACAACTGAAGACCCTCATCCACCAAACAACTGTAGACCCTCATCCACCAAACAACTGAAGACCCTCATCCACCAAACAACTGAAGACCCTCATCCACCAGACAACTGAAGACCCTCATCCACCAAACAACTGAAGACCCTCATCCACCAGACAACTGAAGACCCTCATCCACCAAACAACTGAAGACCCTCATCCACCAGACAACTGGAGGCCCTCATCCACCAAACAACTGAAGACCCTCATCCACCAAACAACTGTAGACCCTCATCCACCAAACAACTGAAGACCCTCATCCACCAGACAACTGAAGACCCTCATCCACCAAACAACTGAAGACCCTCATCCACCAGACAACTGAAGACCCTCATCCACCAAACAACTGAAGACCCTCATCCACCAGACAACTAGAGGCCCTCATCCACCAGACAGATGCACGCCATCATCCACCAGACAGATGTATGCCGTCATCCACCAGACAGATGTAGGCCAGTAATGCCTGGGACCAGCGGGCAAGATGGGCTCAGTATATCACCAGCCAGGGAAGGGGCAGCACGCACACCCGGCCGACTCAGTATATCACCAGCCAGGGAAGGGGCAGCACGCACACCCGGCCGGCTCAGTATATCACCAGCCAGGGAAGGGGCAGCACGCACACCCGGCCGGCTCAGTATATCACCAGCCAGGGAAGGGGCAGCACGCACACCCGGCCGGCTCAGTATATCACCAGCCAGGGAAGGGGCAGCACGCACACCCGGCCGACTCAGTATATCACCAGCCAGGGAAGGGGCAGCACGCACACCCGGCCGACTCAGTATATCACCAGCCAGGGAAGGGGCAGCACGCACACCCGGCCGGCTCAGTATATCACCAGCCAGGGAAGGGGCAGCACGCACACCCGGCCGACTCAGTATATCACCAGCCAGGGAAGGGGCAGCACGCACACCCGGCCGGCTCAGTATATCACCAGCCAGGGAAGGGGCAGCACGCACACCCGGCCGGCTCAGTATATCACCAGCCAGGGAAGGGGCAGCACGCACACCCGGCCGACTCAGTATATCACCAGCCAGGGAAGGGGCAGCACGCACACCCGGCCGACTCAGTATATCACCAGCCAGGGAAGGGGCAGCACGCACACCCGGCCGACTCAGTATATCACCAGCCAGGGAAGGGGCAGCACGCACGCCCGGCCGACTCAGTATATCACCAGCCAGGGAAGGGGCAGCACGCACGCCCGGCCGACTCAATATATCCCCAGCCAGGGAAGGGGCAGCACGCACACCCGGCCGACTCAGTATATCACCAGCCAGGGAAGGGGCAGCACGCACACCCGGCCGACTCAGTATATCACCAGCCAGGGAAGGGGCAGCACGCACACCCGGCCGACTCAGTATATCACCAGCCAGGGAAGGGGCAGCACGCACACCCGGCCGACTCAGTATATCACCAGCCAGGGAAGGGGCAGCACGCACACCCGGCCGACTCAGTATATCACCAGCCAGGGAAGGGGCAGCACGCACACCCGGCCGACTCAGTATATCACCAGCCAGGGAAGGGGCAGCACGCACACCCGGCCGACTCAGTATATCACCAGCCAGGGAAGGGGCAGCACGCACACCCGGCCGGCTCAGTATATCACCAGCCAGGGAAGGGCAGCACGCACACCCGGCCGACTCAGTATATCACCAGCCAGGGAAGGGGCAGCACGCACACCCGGCCGGCTCAGTATATCACCAGCCAGGGAAGGGGCAGCACGCACACCCGGCCGGCTCAGTATATCACCAGCCAGGGAAGGGGCAGCACGCACACCCGGCCGACTCAGTATATCACCAGCCAGGGAAGGGGCAGCACGCACACCCGGCCGACTCAGTATATCACCAGCCAGGGAAGGGGCAGCACGCACACCCGGCCGGCTCAGTATATCACCAGCCAGGGAAGGGGCAGCACGCACACCCGGCCGGCTCAGTATATCACCAGCCAGGGAAGGGGCAGCACGCACACCCGGCCGGCTCAGTATATCACCAGCCAGGGAAGGGGCAGCACGCACACCCGGCCGGCTCAGTATATCACCAGCCAGGGAAGGGGCAGCACGCACACCCGGCCGGCTCAGTATATCACCAGCCAGGGAAGGGGCAGCACGCACACCCGGCCGGCTCAGTATATCACCAGCCAGGGAAGGGGCAGCACGCACACCCGGCCGACTCAGTATATCACCAGCCAGGGAAGGGGCAGCACGCACACCCGGCCGACTCAGTATATCACCAGCCAGGGAAGGGGCAGCACGCACACCCGGCCGACTCAGTATATCACCAGCCAGGGAAGGGGCAGCACGCACACCCGGCCGGCTCAGTATATCACCAGCCAGGGAAGGGGCAGCACGCACACCCGGCCGACTCAGTATATCACCAGCCAGGGAAGGGGCAGCACGCACACCCGGCCGACTCAGTATATCACCAGCCAGGGAAGGGGCAGCACGCACACCCGGCCGGCTCAGTATATCACCAGCCAGGGAAGGGGCAGCACGCACACCCGGCCGGCTCAGTATATCACCAGCCAGGGAAGGGGCAGCACGCACACCCGGCCGGCTCAGTATATCACCAGCCAGGGAAGGGGCAGCACGCACACCCGGCCGACTCAGTATATCACCAGCCAGGGAAGGGGCAGCACGCACACCCGGCCGACTCAGTATATCACCAGCCAGGGAAGGGGCAGCACGCACACCCGGCCGGCTCAGTATATCACCAGCCAGGGAAGGGGCAGCACGCACACCCGGCCGGCTCAGTATATCACCAGCCAGGGAAGGGGCAGCACGCACACCCGGCCGACTCAGTATATCACCAGCCAGGGAAGGGGCAGCACGCACACCCGGCCGGCTCAGTATATCACCAGCCAGGGAAGGGGCAGCACGCACACCCGGCCCACTACAAAACACAGGGCAAGATGGGCTCAGTATATCACCAGCCAGGGAAGGGGCAGCACGCACACCCGGCCCACTACAAAACACAGGGCAAGATGGGCTCAGTATATCACCAGCCAGGGAAGGGGCAGCACGCACACCCGGCCCACTACAAAACACAGGGCAAGATGGGCTCAGTATATCACCAGCCAGGGAAGGGGCAGCACGCACACCCGGCCCACTACAAAACACAGGGCAAGATGGGCTCAGTATATCACCAGCCAGGGAAGGGGCAGCACGCACACCCGGCCCACTACAAAACACAGGGCAAGATGGGCTCAGTATATCACCAGCCAGGGAAGGGGCAGCACGCACACCCGGCCCACTACAAAACACAGGGCAAGATGGGCTCAGTATATCACCAGCCAGGGAAGGGGCAGCACGCACACCCGGCCCACTACAAAACACAGGGGGACATAAAATCAAATAAAGACAATTTCCAGCAGGGGACGAATCTAAAATATTTTTCCAGGAGTGGGAGGGGCCCAGGTGGGTGGGCGAGGGCCCGAGCGAGGTGGAGGGGTCCCTTCCTCAAGGGGGAGGGGCCCAGGTGGGTGGGCGAGGGCCCCGAGCGAGGTGGAGGAATCCCTTCCTCAAGGGGGAGGGGCCCTGGTGGGTGGGCTAGGGCCCCAAGCGAGGTGGAGGGGTCCCTTCCTCAAGGGGGAGGGGGCCCAGGTGGGTGGGCTAGGGCCCCAAGCGAGGTGGAGGGGTCCCTTCCTCAAGGGGGAGGGGGGCCCGTGTCCACCTTTGCCACAAAAATAGCTTTTCAGTTAAGCGGCTCAGAAGGCGAGTTTAGCGTGTCGACGTCGTAAAGGGCGTAACATACACGCAGAGTGCTCTAGGAACTATTTCCCTTTCTTTCTTTGTATCAACTTTATTGTTTGGTTGCTTCACTTAATTACAAAATCCAAACAACTCAAACTTGCTGTTGTCCATATTGCAACTTAAGTGTAAAGTTGCCCGCATGAGAAACAAAGGAATTTTCATAGAAAACTCCAAATTTTCTTTGAATTTTTTACCAAGTTTTACTATGATACATCTACCAGTTCATAATAAAGCGTAAAGACTTACGAACAAAAGAGTAAAGACAACTGCAGAATGTCTGTTGGTCGATAAGCGGCAGCTCCTATATATATCCACCCAAACTCATTCATACATATGTCTAGCCTACGCTTGAAACACTCCAGTAATCTCATCCAATTGTGTTATCCAGTAATTTGTCGGATTACTGGGTTCATACATTACATGTACACGTGCGGGCCGCCCCTACCAACAGCCTCGCTGATCATGTCGTCACCACACAAGCCTGACTCCCGGCCGGACTCGGGAAACAACACAAAAGAGTAAACATGTCAGAGAACTGGGCATTAACACAGTCCAAAAAAGTGACAGTCAGAAATACAAAAGCAAAAAGAGATGGACTGGAGAGCAAAAGCTCTACAAATAAGAGACAAAAGCCTCCTCATCAACGCGGCCCTTCAGCTAATACGTTACACTTATTACGGACTCGACCAATCCGTTAAAAATGAGACGTATTATTAAAAATTCAAGCACCGCAAAATCAACGCTTTTCTATTTAACGGCGTCGGTACGTTCAGTGGATTGTTTTTGTTCGTATGTTTCTTGTCAGCCCAAACAGTTGCAATTTTTTTTTGGTAGACCAATGCGTTGAAAATGCGACGTATTAGCACAAAATAAAGCACTGTAATGTTGACGTTTTCCGTGAAGGGCAGAAAAGCAGATCCGAAGCACATCGAGCAAGTTAATACAAACAGGAATTTAGGAACCAAGTTCAAACTAGAGCCATAAAAGTGATGGGATATGATCACGACTTGCAAGATACTAAGGGGTATCTTGGTGAACAAGGACGGCCTCCGTTAAGGGGGAGAAAGCAGGACAAAAGGACACAGATGGAAGCTGGAAACACAAATGAGTCGAATAAATGTAAGGAAATACTCGTACTGTGTACGGGAGGTACCTGCTTGATACCTGCTTGATGGGGTTCTGGGAGTTATTCTACTCCCCAAGCCCGGCCTGAGGCCAGGCTTGACGTGTGAGAACTTGGTCCACCAGGCTGTTGCTTGGAGCGGCCCGCTGGCCCACATACCCACCACAGCCCGGTTGGTCCGGCACGGTTTTTAGAAAACAGTCTAGTTTTCTCTTGAAGAAAACTAGACTGTTTTCTAGACACTAGAACCACAGTTGTTCCGGCAATATTTCAGGTCAACAAGCGGAATGCACTGAAGGAAGAAGCTCTAGAAGCCACCTCCATCCACAACTTTAAGGCCAGACCCGACAAAGAATTCGAGCGTCAGAATAGTTAAAATATAAAACCACATGTACAACCAGGCTGGAAGGTGGGGCATAGAGCTAGAGCTCACCCCCTGTAAATACTGACAGGTAAGTATGGAGAGGCAAGTACCAGCCACAACAGCCTAATTGTTTGAGGAGATTCTTGCTCACCATATAACCAGCTCTTTTATTTAGGAATTTCAGTTTGAAAGTTGAGCCAGAAGGTTGGCGAGAAAATATAGCGCAAGTGTTTATAACCGACAAACAACATCCGAAACGGAATTCCATTACGAACTTTGCCATAAAAAACCCACCTAATGAATAAGTTCTGAAAACGGTGGAACTTTACGCTTGAGTATGCCTGCGTGAGTGAGTGCGTGAGTGAGTGCGTGAGTGTGTGCGTGCGTGCGTGCCACTGAAGTCTATTTTATCGTTCTATTATTTGTTTGGCACAATTTGCGTGTAAACTCAATGAATTTTGGTTGACTTATGTTTATAGGTTGGTACAGGTGACTTGTATTAGCAGGCTGAGAGCTTCCCTTCCCGTAGCTCATGGTAACCTTACCCTACTAACTTCCTCAATGGAATATGATTCGCCGAGCGGTTAACATCCAGGTACCGAATTACTGCTGGATGAACAGGGGGACGAGCAGTTAAAGACTGGCAGCCAGTCAAGCCTCCCGGGCAAGGACTCGAACCCAGACCAAATCGTTCTCAAGGCGCGGGACAAATTTATTATCACTACACCACCAGGGACGTAATGCGGCTATGATTTTGTCGTAGTGATCAAGCAGATATGAAAGACTTGTGAGAACTTGGTCCACCAGGCTGTTGCTTGGAGCGGCCTCGGGCTAGATTCACGAAGCAGTTACGCAAGTACTTACGAACGTGTACATCTTGACGGCTTTGGTTAAATTTATTAAACAATTTACAAGCATGAAAACTTCCCAATCAACTGTTGTTATTGTTATAAACAGCCTCATGGTGCTTAGGCGCTCATTAACTGTTTAATAATTGTAAACAAAGCCGCCAAAAATTGAGTAAAGATGTACAGGTTCGTAAGTACTTGCGTAACTGCTTCATGAATCTGGCCCCTCCTCTCTAAAGCCGTGTTGAGCATGGTTGCATAGATTTCTTTTCCTCAAGAATACTAGTAAACATGCATTTTAGAACATGCATTAAACTCTAGCCGTATGTTAGTGCTAATAGTAAGTGTTTTTTAATAAATAAGTGCGGCCATGTCCTCAGTTTGTATATCTTCAGGAGGGCTCTACCTGTTGTGTACCTGTTGCTGGTACCGGGGAATCAAGAGTCCCCGTGACCTATCTCTGACCAGGCCTTCTGCTTGGCCAGGTCAACCACGCCCTGAGACGCCCGTGCTAGCAGCCTGGCCTACGAATCACAACCCGGTTGATCAGGAATCCTTTGGAGCTATTTATAAAATTATTATTTTTTTTTGAACACCGAGAGGAGAAGGAGGTCGGCCTATTATACCCCTTATGTTTAGAGGCGGTGTCGTTAAACGTTACCTTTATAAAATGCCGAGTTCCTATGCTAAATGGCATTTTACATTTTTTTTTAAAGCAGACTTCCAAAAGTCTGGCCCAGAAGCCAATAGACGTAAAAGATTGAGAAGTGTCCCCCCCCCCCACCCCAAAAAAAAAAGATTTGTTTGAGTTTTCGCAGCAATTCTCAATATTTTGTTATCTGTGCAGTGAAATTTTCGGCTGTTACATTTGAAGATTTATATACTAGTACAGTGACAGGGAATTCGCATTTCTGCTTTAATTCCTAATGTCTGAGGCTTATCATTTGAAGATCATAACAATACTGGGCAGGTAATCTCAAATCCAACTCCATTATCTCTTGAATGGGTTTCTGTGAATAATCCAAACATTGCAGCCAAACACTCTGTGTGTGTGTGGAAGCCATTTATGAAAGGCACTCATTTTCTTTTGTCTTTTCAGCTTTGTATGTTGCAAAGATTAAATGCGGATAGGGCGTGTGCTTGGGAGCACCAAGCGCGCAGGTTCGAATCCCCCTCCTCTTGGCTTCTGGCTGATTTTCCTACTGATACATCAAGTTATTGTGATTTCGTTGTGAATAAATGCGGATAGGACTGGTTACCTGGTTGATACTTGGTAGATGGGGTTCTGGGAGTTCTTCTACTCCCCAAGCCCGGCCCGAGGCCAGGCTTGACTTGTGAGAGTTTGGTCCACCAGACTGTTGCTTGGAGCGGCCTGCAGGAATTAAGCGGCCTACG